ATTTTTGTGGCTCTCCCAAGAACGTTTCTATGCTGTATAAAGAAACGTGATTTGTGTGCTTGTCAACCTCATAAATTTTCTACGTGCTTGTAGAATACACTTTCTACGCCTTATCAAGGCTTCTTCTTTTAGTTAGCCAGGCAAGGGGACAAACGAGTTAGCACAGCCTATCGCGTCGCTGCATCAATTATCTTCTCTCTCGTTTACCGAGTAACTTACTTACTTACTTACGCCTGTTACCACCAATCGAGCATAGGCCGCCCACCAGTATTCTCCAACCAACTCTAACCTGGGCTTCCCTCTCTAGTTCTGTCCAATGTTTGTTCATTCCTCTCATATCTTTCTCTATTTCTCAGTGTAATGTGTTCCTTGGCATTCCTCTTTTCCTTTCACCTTGAGAGTTCCATGTGAGGGCATGTATTGTAACGCAGTTCGGTGCTTTTCGTAGTGTGTGTCCTATCCACATCCAACGCTTCTTCCTGATTTCCTCCTCCACTGGAATTTGGTTTGTTTTCGCCCACAGTTCGTTGTTGCTAATGGTGTCTGGCGAACGAATCCGAAGTATTTTGCGTAGACAGCTGTTTTTAATAAACACTTGTATCTTCTGAATGATGGCTTTCGTAGTTCTCAAAGTCAATTTTCACCACATTCACATATATCATACTCTTTATTATTATTATTATTTTTTATTTATATATATGTATCATTATTTCATTCAAGAAATATACAATCCGTTCGTTACTGTTAATATAGACCAATTGATGACATGCTATTATTTATTAAAGTAAAATGACAAATTCATATTACTATTCTCTAAAAATATATTGATATTTTTTTTCTCTCTAATATATAATGGAGCCAATCAGAATTAAACAAAATGTAAAAGTTCATTTGATTAATGGTCATTAGAAATGTCAGAAAGGACAAATTCATATTATTGGTTAAGAAATGAATTCATTTCCTAGAAGGATAGAATATATATATATATATATATATATATATATATATATATACATATATATGTATATATATATATATATATGTATATATGTATATATATTAATAGAGAGAGAGAGGACATGAGAATTCATACATATTATTCAATAGTCAAATAAACATTTGAAATCATCAATCATTCATTGTTAGACCACCATTAAAAACCTAGAAGCACTGAAAGACATCCATTTCGTCCTGGTATGGAACTCATCAGTGGCAGTGCGCATCCACGACTCCTGCACCTGGCAGGATACGAACCTGGGACCTTCGGTGTTGTGCGCGAAACTGCCGTTCAGTGCTTCTAGGTTTCTAATGGTGGTCTAACAATGATTGATTGATTGATGATTTCAAATGTGTAAAAGAAACACAAATCTCCAAAAACTCTGCCCGAAAAAAAAATCAAATAAACATTTTTCTTTAATTCTCAACTCCTCATTTAAGTAGCCAATCCAGTTTAGCATGAAACACAAGGGACACCAATGAGATCACCAATATCAAGACTCATTGCGGAAGTTGTAATGCAGACACTAGAAGCGTTGATTCCACCAGTGATTAAGCCAAAATTGTGGGTTCGCTATGTAGACAACACATTCGTCATTATCAAAAAGAAAAACGAGCTGGAGAACATCAACAATCGGATCCAAAACATCTTCGATGACATAAAATTTACAATGGAAAAGGAATCAACCAACAGTTTATCATTCCTGGAAATACTAATCACCAGAACTAACACTGGAAAACTGGAAACTCAAGTATTTTGGAAGCCAACTCACAAAGACGTAATTCTCAACTATGATAGCAACAACCCAAGAACTCACAAAATCAACTGCATACAAACTTTGTTTTAAGAGAGCGAAGACACACTACAGCACATATGAAGTACTGAAAAACGAATAAAGACACCTTGTGACTATTTTCCAAAAGAACGGCTATCCACGCAACTTCATCAAAAAACATTGACCGAAAGCGTTAACAGAAGCAAGATCAGGTACAGGAGCCAATAACCGGATCATCCTACCACATAAATGACATCGGAATATACAGCAAGACTACTGAGACCTTTTGGAATAGGTGTTGCACACAAACCAACAGAATCACTTCAATCAATCCTGACAAAGGAAGAAAAACCAAATATCATCTACAAAATAAACTGCTCAGACGATGAAAAACACTACATAGGACAAAGTGGACGGCCTCTTCAGCTTCGTTTACGTGAACACCAATATCAGTCAAACGCCACAACAATTCTTCGCTTATATCATCAATACATACTGACAATTATGAACATACATTCAATTGGAACAATGTGAAAATACTGGATAGAAAGAGGACAAAGAACACTAGAGAAATTTTAGAAGCTTGGCACTCAGGTCAATCAGCAATCAACAAACACATCGACATTGACACAATTAATCAATCAATCAGAAAAATCATGTACAGACATACGATGAAGAAACAGATCAAAAGGGGGATACAATCAAAACAAAGGTGCAAACAACGACAGGTTTAAGGTCAACAGCAACCAATCAAGATCGAGGTTAAACAGAACAAGCTACAGGTCATACGGGAAGAAATTCAAATACTTCACTTCTTCTATCTGAAGTTTGTGCTACTGATGATGTTGTTCAGCAGGAGAACAATGAAAGCTTCACAACCAAAATATCCAGCTCAGAGAAGCACTGAATAGCCGTTTTTTCTTAGTACGCGACTCATCAACAATGGACTTCCACGACTCTCATTATGCGCGGGAATCGAACCCAGGACCTTTTGGGTCGTGGATGTTTTCAGCTCAGAATACTGTTTAGTTGCTTTAAGTAGTAGATATGACTATTTAATACTGACAAATACTAACAAATTCAAATAACCAGATATTGTTGTTAATGGAAAGCAGAGCAGATGAATTAAAATCATCAGATTAATAGTCTTATGAAGATATTTATGAAACAACATTTATTTCATGTGATGAACTGAAAAATTTAAAGGTAACAGTAAAATCACAAACAAATTGTTCATCTTAGATTTCATTGTTAGCCATAAATGGCTGTCTTATTATTATCAATAAAAATGATCGAATTTCTTTCTATCCCGAAAATGCTTTGATATGGTTGAAATACTCTCATATGGTAACGAATATATGTAATCCTACACTCTCTGTCTTTTCATTACTGGAGTGTTGTTGTTTGAAAAAAATTGAGAAAATAATAATAATGTGTCCAATCACGGCTTAAACTGAATAGCTTGGAATGAAGAATACATCTAGGAGAGTAGGTAGACCCGTTACTCTTAACTCTTTGGTACTCTTGAGCTGCAGGATCTTGATGGAAGAATGAATGGCGGCGTACTAACTAATTATCAGTCACCTGTTATAGTAATAACAATAAGTAGCTTTTGAGTGGCTCGTGATTGGACACCAATTTGGACGAATGATTGAATATGCTATGAAATAAGCCTTCGCTTTAATTTCTGTAGATCATGATGCTTAGGCGAACGCCGTTTGCGCGATTGTGATAATGAAAAGCCTAATACGAATTCTTACTTACTTACTTACTTACGCCTGTTACCCTCAGTGGAGCATAGGCCGCTCACCAGTTTTCTCCAAACAACTCTGTCCTGGGCTTCCTTTTCCAATTCTGTCCAATTTTTGTGCCTTCTTCTCATGTCTTTCTCTATTTCTCGGCGTAATGTGTTCCTTGGCATTCCTCTCTTCCTTTTGACTTGAGGGCTCCAAGTGAGGGCTTGTCTTGTGACGTAGTTAGGTACTTTCCACAGTATGTGTCCTATCCACTTCCACCGCTTATCCCTGATTTCCTCCTCCACTGAAATCTGGTTTGATCTCTCCCACAGTAGATTGTTGCTGATGGTGTCTGGCCAACGAATCCGAAGTATTTTGCGTAGACAACTGTTGTTAATGAACACTTGTATCTTGTAGATGATGGCTTCTCCAAGTTTCTGCTCCATACAGTAGAACTGTTTTGACATTTGTATTGAAAATCCTGATTTAATACGAATTCATTTGGTAAATAAATTTATTTCATGCAATCGTTCAACACAGTTAGCCATTAGAATACAAACTGTCAACTCAAAACGAAGGAGAGAATGCGAGTGATCCGATTCAATGTGACAATAAGATATAACCATAAGATATTTATATAGTCAGACAAAAATAAGCTAGTTATGCAAGAAGCGAAATAAGCAAAAACAACTAAGGATATAATCGAATAATAGACAAGATCGAAAGATGTAAATCAGAATGTACTAAGAATGAAAGTTTTCATACACTAACAAACAATATTGGCTCCCCAGTTACTGCTGTCTCTCGATCAGCTGCACCAGATAATAGACATCAAAATCTTCCCATTCCTAATATCAATCATAATTTTAATAATCATGGAATACATTCTGTCCCACCTGTCGTTGCTTTTGGATATAACCTTTCAATACAAACACCGCATTGTAGCACTCCTCAACGTGGTAGCTGTTACAAGCCATATGAACTACAGACTTCTTTACGACAAACTAGTGGTGTTGGTGCATATACAGCTGCTGTTCTAGCCTCTCCGTCTGTATTCCAGTCCACACAGTGGATGCATTTGAGATTGGCAAATGTTGTTAATTATTATCTGGTCACAAATCTAGAAAATGGAATCATTCACATCCATAACTAATCAGTAATAATAATAATAATAACAATAATAATAATAATAATCTTTCATACTCTGTGATAAATCTTTCTTTAATACTACTTTTGTCTTAGTTGTCCAATCTGTCTGTATCTAATATGTTTCACTGATTCTCAGCACCTCTCTAAGTTGTATCTTCTCATTTCTGAAACATTATTTGAACATTCCATATTACCTGGAAGAATGGTTGATCTACTTGTCTAGTTAGGGGGTTTTTTCTCGAGTGAGTGAGTTAGTTTTCTACGATGTGGGGTAGGTAGTCAAGCCCACGCGACAAACTCTCCTCCTTTATCTGGCTGAGCTTGATGAGAACGGAGGGACTCCATGCGGAGTTAGTGTGGTGCGCGCTACTTATAAGTAGTATATGACGTGAGTGAAAACGTAATGTCTGGCAGCACAAGATGGGGAAAGATCAAGAAGAAAGGAAGAGTGGGAACACAATGGAATTTGTATGAAACGCATGAATAGTGAAATGTCAGACAATGGATTGATGATGGATTGAAGATTTGCAAACTAACCGTTTACGATATGGTTTTCCTATTTTACTGATTAACTCTGTAATTTGCTATAAATACATTTCGGTTGCCCTCACCTGTGTTTTCTTTCACTACATTAGTATCCACATATATACATATATGTATATATAAATTGTTCGAAGGATGATTTAGAAACAGAAACTACTGGTTTCAAAAATGATAAATAGCTTACTGAAAAAATCTTTGTCACTCATTACGTAACACTGTAATATTTACTTGTGAAAAAAATAACTAATTCACGTTCGCATTTCAAACTCCCATTTGTTAACATGTGACTTCGAGAGATAAATTGGTACATTTTCTTGATTTTTTCCCTTCCAATTACAAATCAAATCAAAATTTCAGTTATTTTGTTTTACAGTACAGTTAAAAAAAGAAACTAAAAATCCATCTTTTTTTGACAAAATTAAAACTTAGATTCCACCGCTGATTACGCTCAAGGTCAATTTGATCATCAATTCCCTTTCCAGCCGCCCACATCATCATCAACTCCTAGTTTATCTGGTACAGAAGTAGAAAATATACATCAAATTAATTGTTTTTTTGAAAATCCCACAAGTTTAATACGTTTCTGTCATGGTAGTTTGATCAATGTGACAATTCTATTGGGTATATTCGATTGTTCCAATGGTTTACCATTAATTGGTGTGATTAATCAACCATTCTATTTAAATAATATGAATAGTGATAGTAATCATAATCATAATAATAGTAATAATAATATCTCAAATGATGAAATAAAGTAAGTTTTATAATTTCAGTTGTTTGAATGTGTTAATGGGAGTGTGTGTGTGTGTGTGCGGCTGTTTGATTTGTTTATGACTACTAATTACACCAGTGGTTAATAAATTATTTTAAAACCATGAATAATTGATCAAGGTGTTATATCACTACTATTAGAAACCTGAAAACATTGGATGACTGTTTCGTCCTAATACGGGACGGACTCATCAGAAGTGTGCATACATGAACCACCCACAAGCGAAGGGTGAGCTTGGAACCTTCGGTTTCGCATATGAACGCTTAACTGATTGACCAATGAACTGGCATCCAACCGGTAGAGTTCAACCGTGTTGGATATCATGCACTTACCAACCGAAGACAATGTATGAGGTCGCTGAATATCATGGATTTATTAAAGTTAGACATGAACATCGTTGGATGGTGGGACAGTGGTCACCTAGTCAAGCCTTCATGAGCGGAAGTGAAGGTTCTGTGTTTGATTACTGCTTGTAGATTCATGGATGCGCAATTCTGAGCAGTCCCATACTAGAAATAAAACAACCATCCAATGATTCCAGGTTTCTAATGGTAATCGAATACTGATCAGTTAGTGATTTCAATGAAACCGGGAAACACTGGACGGCTGTCTTTTCCTAGAATGGAACTATTTAGCACTACAAATCCACAACCAGTGCATGTGAGCTCGAACCTTTGAACTACTTGAATGATAGCAAAAAAGTAAATAGAGAAGTTTTCATGCAGAGTTTTGGAGGTTTGTGTTTATTACACATTTGAAATCATCAATCAATCATTGTTAGACCACCATTAGAAACCTGGAAGCATTGGACGGCCGTTTCGTCCTGGTATGGAATTCATCTGCAGTGCGCAACCACGACTCCTGCACCTCGCAGGATTCGAACCCAGGACCTTCGGTATTGTGTGCGAACGCCTAACCATTGGACCACTGGGCCGGTATCCAACGGTGTTAATGACTAACTCTGATTGATCTAGGGGTTTTGCGCGACCTCACTCATTTGTCTTTGGTATTTACTGCCTACACTCGACAGGGTTGAACTACATTGGTCACATCTTCTCAACTAGAACTCCGAGAATTTCCTCACCAAGCTAGTCACTAGTAGTAGTTATTCAATAGATTAATCTTATTTTATGTATAAACAAGGCCATTCAGAAGTGACCTAATGAGAAGGCCATTTAACAATTACCAACAAAAATATCCTCTAAAGTACAAATGAATATCATTGGTTAAGGAATTGATTCATTTCCTAAAACGGTCTAATATATAAATGTAGACAGAGAGAGACGGAAGTATTTTTACTTATTAATCGGTGGCTAAATAGACTTTCTATCTCATCCTTTTCATCTCACTCAATTGTTCAGTTTAGAGGAGGGAGCGTTTAGCGAGTATCTCGTTCAGATCTTCAACGCAGCATATCAAAAGAAATATTTTTTTCAGTTTACAAGAAACATTAACCAACAACAAATGAATCCCTATACATAAGTATATTATAGTATTATGGCGATAGTAGTTTTACGTTGAAATCATGAATTAACCATTTTTAGACCACCATTAGAAACCTGAAAGCACTGGACGGATATTTCCTCCTGTTATGGAGCTCATCAATAGAGCACTCTGATGCGAACTCAAAAAATATGCTTCATTAGTGACTAGCTTTGTGAGAAAATTTTCGGAGTTCTAGTGTGAAAAGGTAATCAGTGAAGTTGAAACATGTCAACTGTAGACAGTAACTACCGAAGAAAAATGGGTGAGTTGCGCAAAATCCTTAGATTGATCACAGCAAGACATTACCATGGTTGGATGCTGGCCGGCTCAGTGATACAGAGGTTGGGCGTTCGCGCGCCATACTGAAAGTCTTAGGGTCCAATCCTGCCAGTTGTAGGAGTCATGAATATGCACTGCCACTTATGAGTCCCATATTAGGATGAAACGGCTGTCCAGCGCTTCCAGCTTTCTAATGAGGGTCTAACAATTATTCATTCATGTTGACGTTTAAAGCAAACGGTACTAGATTCCAGTGTGAAAGTGAACATTGAGTCTGAGGTGTGACAGGTATATCCAGTTAAAAATGAGTCCGTAATAGGACGAAACATGCATCGTCGATCCAACTATTAGCCAAATTATGTTCTTTTTTAATGTAAACTTTGTAAATAAAATTATATAAGTATTCCTATATTATATACATCTTCACTTTACCACATTATATTATCCTTACAAAGAGTTTTTAGTGGCTGCGTTCAATTTGAAAGTAGGGCTTATCATTTTAGTGACCCATGATTTCAACTTGGAGATGCCTTGGAGGAAGTTAACACTTTTACATATCTGGACAGAATCATCGACGAGAAAGGTGGATCGGATGCAGAAGTGAGGGCGCGGATTGGCAAAGCAAGGGCTACATTTCTACAGTTGAAAAATATCTGGAACTCCAAACAACTTTCAACCAAAACAAAAATCACGATTTTCAATACAGCAAATGTCAAGACAGTTCTACTGTATGGAGAGGAAACTTGGAGAACTACCAAAGCCATCATCTAGAAGATAAAAGTGTTTATTAACAGCTGTCTACGCAAAATACTTCTGATTCGTTGGCCAGACACCATCAGCAACAACGAACTGTGGGAGAAAACAAACCAGATTCCAGTGGAGGAGGAAATCAGGAAGAAGTGGTGGAAGTGGATAGGACACACACTAGGAAAAGCACCGAACTGCGTCACAAGACAAGCCCTTACATGGAACCCTCAAGGCAAAAGGAAAAGAGGAATGCCAAGGAACAGATTACGCCGAGAAATAGAGAAAGATATGAGAGGAATGAACAAGAATTGGACAGAACTGGAGAGGGAAGCCCAGGACAGAGTTGGTTGGAGAAAAGTGTTGGGCGGCCTATGCTCGATTGGGGGTAACAGGCGTAAGTAAGTAAGTAAGTAATGATTTCAACTTCACTTCAGTTTCCGTATATCACAGTCAGACGAACCCCGTTTGTGTGACGATGGTAATCATATAAGCCAAGTGACAATTCGGTTAGATGAGTTTGTCTCGAACAGACATGAGAATACAAAACATACCAGCAGGGTAAAGCGAAGTGGAGAAGGAGAGCGAGCCAACTGGCACACGAGATGAATTACTGATAGACATTTGTAGTCGAACAAAATAAGCTAGACATGTGACAAGCGAAGTAAGCTTTTATTGTACACACTTACTCAAATAGAAACAACCACTATAAAAGCGAATGATAGACAAGTTCGAAACTAGTTTGAGTAATAACTTGAGAATAATAAGATCTGAAGGCTTCAGACAAGGCCCCCTGGGGGTTCAGCATAAAATGAAACATAATACAAACTTATGATTAATCCTGGATTCTGGTTAGTGACTTTTTAAAGAGTTACCTTTCTACAGGATGGGATTATTAACTACATGCCCAACCCTCCTCCTTTATTCAAGCTTTGAACCGGTCAGTAATCCCAGAAAGGCTCCAAGCGGAGTTTCAATCTTTGATGGTCACCAAATATCTTTCATCAAACAATAAACAGTTACAGAAATTCTTATATTAGTATATTATCTATATTTATTCGTTATTTATTTACAAGAACAAACTGAGACATTCGACAACTTAGCACATCGAGGTAGGCGATGAATTGGCATGCATAACAGTTTTGCACACCGATGTTAACTGATGTCTATAATCGATTGGTTTCAAATGTATGCTTTTTAAGTTACTTACTTACTTACTCCTGTTACCCCCAATGGAGCATTGGCCGCCAACCAGCTTTTTCCAACCTACTCTGTCCAATCGTTGTTCATTCTTCTCATATCTTTCCCTGTTTCTCGGCGTAATGTGTCACATGGCCTTCCACTTTTCCTTTTGTCTTGAGGGTTCTTAAGTGAGGGTTTGTCATGTGACCCAGTTAGGTACTTTCCGCATTGTGTATCCTATCCACCTTCATCAACCTTTTCTTAATTTCTTCCTCAGCTGAAATCTGGTTTGTTTTTTCCCACAGTAGATTGCTGTTGATAGTGTCTGGTCAACGAATCGGAAGTATTTTGCGTAGACAACTGCTGATAAACACTACTCACCTTATTAATATATATAAAATGTGCATTACTTTCGTGACATATTATTGAATTGTTGGGGATGCTAGATAAACCTAAAACTCGCTTGTTAAATGCCTAATTTTGGATTTCACGTTTGCCAGCATGGGCTGATCACTTGACCTTGAGATTTCATTTCCAACCAGGAAAATCCATGGATGGCTGTGATTGGTTGCTGTGTATTTTAGTATGCTATTTTCATAACTTTCCAAAGGACGTCGTTTCTATAGTGTATAAATAAACGAGAGTTGTATGCTTGATTGTGTATTGTGTGATTGCTGGGTGTTTGTAGAATATACTTCCTACGCTTACAGAGCCTTTTATCTTCAGCTTGGGTGGGATTCAAGGTAACCTATCTGGACGCTGGTTTGTTGTCTCGTTCGCGTTTATCGACTAAGGTGAACTCGTAAATAGCTTCAGGCGTACACCTAGTGATGAATATACTACTCAAAAACTTCATCAGATTAATTCCAATAAATTATCATTACGTTTTTTTTCTTATTTTCTTTAGTTCACCATATAATTATGGACGAATTATTTGGGGTTACAATTTCATTGATACTGAAAATTCTTCAACAACAAATCATATGATTTATGCCAATAATTCATCTACATACATTCACTTAGATCACGAACTAGATAATTTAAATTTTCCAAAACAATTACGTTTTCCAAATCATTTCTTTGATTGTCTATGTCCAGATCGTGTATTTAGTGATGAGAAACCAATTTTGAAAGTTGCTTGTAGTTCAATGGAATTTAGTCGTTTAACTAATTTATTTCATGGTAAGTTTTGATGACTGAATTTTGTTATGTTTTTTTTTTATTCAATGTTTGTTTATTTTAAGCTCATGTGTTGTATCCTTTGAGGGTTGTCTCAACATCGTCCTAGACTCCACTTGTATATAATTACTTACCTACGCCTCTGTTATCCCCCAATGAAGCATAGACCTACTCTTTCTTCAGCCTTCCTATCCAGTTCTGTCCTAATGTTGTTCGTTCCCTTCATGTCTGTCTGTATTTCTTGGCCTGATATGTTCTTTGGTGTTCCTCTTTTCCTCTGGCCTTGAGGATTCCATATGAAGGCATGTCTTGTGATGCAGTTGGGTGCTTTCTTCCGACACTTCCCCCTGATTCCCTCCTCCGCTAGAATCTGGTTTCTACTCTCCTACAGTAGGTTGTTACTGATAGTGTCTGGTCAGCGGATCTCATGTATTTTGCATAGACAACTGTTAATAAACACTTGTACCCCTTCTGGACGATGGTTTTCATAGTTCTCCAAGTTTCCACAACTAGCTAGCTACCTTTTGATCTCTGCCAGTAATGCTTGTGATCTAAAGACAGTTTCAAGGCACTTCGCCTAGGATTCACATGCGTCAAATGGAACTGATCAACTGTAGTTGTAAATATGAGTGAACTGATTCAAACAGTCAATGTAAATGAATGAACTTAGTAGCTAAATGGATGGATGACATGATGACGTTTCAAGCGAACACTCATGAGATCGAGTCTCAGAGTGACCAACAGCTCTAAGATGCTGGTATATTCAAGCGAAACACTAGTCCGAAATCCTAGATTGCACTACTGCAGATCATACATTGCTACTTTTTTATCTTATACTACTTTCTCATTTTCAATAGTATCTTAAATGAAATCAAGTTGTAATGAATACAGTTTTAGTGATTCATTTGTTATCGGCGTTATAAACAACATCTAAGCATGATAGTTTACAACAAACAAGATGTATTTATCTCATGTAAATTCTCTTGTGTCTAATAATCTTCCAATCTTGCATTAGTGTGGTATGAAAATTATTTTTTCGTCACACATTGAAATTATGAATGAATCATTGTTAGACTACCATTAGGAACCTGGAAGCACTGGACGACCTCGTTTCGAATCATGCCATTAGCAGCAGTGGTGGATACACACTGCTACTGGTGAGTCCTATACCAGGAAAAAAAAGGTCGCCTAGTGCTTCTAGGTTTCTAAAGCTGTTGGTCTAACAGTAATTCATTCATGATTTCAGCAGTCAATATTTTTTACTTACTTACTTACGCCTGTTACCCACAATCGAGCATAGGCCAACCACCAGTTTTCTCCAACCAACTCTGTCCTGGGCTTCCATTTCTAGTTCTGTCCAATTTTCGTTCATTCTTCTCATCTATTCCTCTATTTCTCGGCGTAATGTGTTCCTTGGCCTTCCCCTGACCTTTTGCCTTGAGGGTTCCATGTAAGGCCTTGACTTGTAACGCAATTCGGCGCTTTTCGTAGTGTGTGTCAATATTACTTCAAATATAATTTTCACAAATTATGTCTTTTACATACTCGAAGGCGAATTTCTGTTCAATTTTTTTTCGTTCACATATTGAAAAACAAATCGTGCATGCGGTGGTGGTGTTTGGTTCTCTGAGCTGGATGTTTTGGTTGTGAAGCTTTCATTGTTCATCTGAACAACATCATCAGTAGCACAAACTTCAGATAGAAGTGAAGCATTCGAATTTCTCCACGTTTGACCTATAGCTTGTTCTTCTAACCTTGATCTTGATTGGTTGCTGTTGACCTTAAACCTGTCGTTGTTTGCAACTTTGTTTTGATTGCATCCCCCTTTTGATCTGTTTCTTGATACTATGTCACCTACGATTTTTCTAATTGGTTGATAAATTGGGTCAATGTCACTGTGTTTATTGATTGCTGATTGAGTGCCAAGCTTCTAAAAATTCCTTAATGTTCTTTGTCCTGCTCCTACTCAGTTCATGTGCACTGCCACTGATGAGTCCCATGCCAGGACAAAAAATGGCCATCCAATGCTTTCAGGTTTCTAATGATGATGGTCTGACAATGATTGATTGATGATTTCAAGTTAAAACTATCATATGTAAAATTCATAGTCATTGCTCGAACTTATACTTTTTATCGTTATGTGTTATAAATTCCGATCATATTTTAATTCTTGATGATTTTGAACTTCTTCTACTAGTTAACTATTAGTCTGAAGAATAGATTAGCTTGTTTTGTTATCAGTCAGTCAGTCAGTCAGTTACAACACAGAACTTCTTACGTAAATACTTAAGTTCAGGTTGCCATACCACATAAGCCCAAAATGCAACTGTCAACACAAAAAGTGGATGCACATGCACCATTGCAAGCGATTTTGAGCCATGTCATTCAAGGTCTCAAACCATCGTTTACTATCATCTCGCGGACACCAAAACATGACTCACTTGAGTTGTCAGTGGCTTCATGGATTTCTGCCATGTTTTGGTTTGGACGCCCCTAACTTTCTTCCAACCTACTCCTACACCACAAAACACAGCTCGTTGAGGCAGTCAGTGGTTGGGCATACGTAACACATGTCCAAACCACCTCAACTGATGTGGCATCCCTACTCAGTAATCGTTTCCTAACTATAGTATTATTTACTTGGTTGTACCGGGATATACGAGCAATGCTTCGAAGACGCTGATTATCGAATACCAGTAACCTACGAATATCTTCTACTCTTAACGGCCATGTTTCACATCCATATAGTAGAATGGAGCGAACTACTGCGCAGCAGACTCGACCTTTGGTTAGCAAACGGATATCTCGCCTACGCCATAAGTGTCGCAGTTTGGCAAAAGCCAATCGAGCCTTCTTTATCCGTTCTGAGATTTCAGCACACACCAGGCCATCAACACTGATAAGACTCCCGAGATAAGTGTAGCGGTCAACACGCACAACTGCTTCACTTCCCGTCAAAAGTTCTCATCATTTTATTTAGTATCCCTATTCTTTCTTCTTAATAATTCATTGTCAATTAATTAATCTAGCTAGAGAAGTGTAAACATCCTCTACCTTATACGTAACTTTAGCCTCTGGTAAGCTGGAGGAGCATTATGTAAAATTATCTGAAAGAGGAGAAGACAAGAGAAAAACTAAGCCGACAACTCAATGATCAAATAGGATGATTCATTTATATTTAATAGAGCAATCGATCGATAACAATCAGAAATAGTACAAACATGAAATAGAAACAAATTAATAATTGAAAAATTGTGTTAACATCCTCTGACTTGTATTTAATTCACACTTACTTATGCCCGTTATCTGTAATGAAGCACATAGGCTGCTGACAATAGCTAGTTGGTTTTCTAAGGGATAGAGTTGCTAAGCTCACGCCTAACCCTCCTCCATTATCCTGGTTTGGTGCCGGTGTAGTGAAGGAGAACACAGGTGAGGGAAACCGGATTGTATTTAACGAAAATTACAGAGTTACTCAGTAAAATAGGAAAACCATATCGTAAACGGTTAATTTGCAAATCTTCAATCCATTGTCTGACATTTCACTTATTCATGTGTTTCATACAAATTCCATTGTGTTCCCACTCTTCTTCCTTTCTTGATCTTCCCTCATCTTCTTCTGCCAGACATTACGTTTCCACTCACGTTATATACTACTTATAAGTAGCGCGCACCACACCGGTAGTGTAATTCCTTGAAGGTCTCCAGTTGGAGTTACTGAATTCATACTGCGTAAATAATAATATTCAAGCTAGTCGATTTTCTTGTTTAACTGTCTATTGATAAGGTGAATGAATCTGTCATATGAAGAATAATGTTGAGAAGATATTGTTACTTACAATCAATGTACTAACTGACAGTCAGTCAGTCAGTCAGATGCAACGTAGAACTTCGCACGTGAGTACATCAGTTCATGTCGCCATACCACATCAGCACAGAGATGTAATTGTCAATTCAAATCCAATAGTAGAAGAGGTTGTAAAACTATTAGAAGTAATCAGAGAGGTTAGGATTAGAAGATATTATTCAAGAAGTATGATTCAGTGAGAAACTTTTAGAAAGTCAAGACTAGAGGTGTTGAAGAATCTGGAAGATTAGGATTTGAGAGAACACAAAGAATTAATGCACTGGCGCCATTGCGAACTCGTCAATGACTTCATGGATTTCTGCCATGTTTTGGTTTGGCCGCCCCTAACTTTCTTTCAACCTATTCCTACACTATAAAACAAAGCTCTTCGAGGCAGTCGTTGGTTAGGCATATGCAACACATGACCTATCCACCTCAACTGATGAAGTTTCATTACTTCATCTATTGATCTGCTATTCTTACCTAGCACCCGATTCCTAATAACAGCGTTGCTCACTTGGGTATCCCAATGTATACGAGCAATGCTTCGAAGACACCTATGATCGAAAACCAATAACCGACGAATATCTTCTACTCTCACTGGCCATGTTTCACAGCCATAAAGTAAGACGGAGCGAACGACTACGCATGTACTAATAAGATATTACATTACATATACGTAAATATGTATCTTTTTTCATGAACCTAACCCAACAATCCATAATGATAGTCATGTCATGTGGTCACTTAAATAAATATACTATATAGATTTAAGTTTGTTTTTTTTCATTTAGAAATCATATGATTGATAATGAATTCATTTGAAGAAATAGAATATAGGACAATTAACATTGGATTGTTTCATTATCATCTATTATGATGGTGTAGTGAATGTATTTCTAACATTTATTTTTGAGTTATTTATTGAAATCATGAATTGACCAGATGGGTAGATCACCATTAGAAACTGGATAGCTTTTTTTCGTCCTGAACTGGGGACTTATCAGTTGCAGTGCGCATGTACGACTCATGTACCTCGCAGGATTCGAACCCTGGAGTCTTCGGTCTTGTGTGCCACTGAGCCGGTACCTATCGGTGGTAATGTCTAACTTCCACCGATTGACGGTCTTGTGCAAACTCATACATTGTCTTCAGT